TTAATTAATTATAGTGCTGTCCTCATAGGATCCTGATAAGGACTACCTCAGTCACTATGACCCCTTTATAAATGTTAGTAAGAGGAAAACAGATCTTAACTTTGGACATGGGTAGTGAAAAATAGCAGCAAAAGAAGACAACAATGTTTATAGTTAAATAATTACTTTGAATTTCCTGTTTATATTTTCATAACCGAAAAGGAAAGTTCTCAAGAGCGTGATGCAAAAAGCCAGAAATAATGCAATTTTTTCATTAGCATGTTTCTTTGGAACTGTAGTAGTCTGGAAAGTATAGTCAATTAGAAAGTCATGTGGCCCCGCATGAAAGCAGAAAACTCTTGTCTATTTTGTTTAGCTCTGTATCACAGAACCCAGTTTAGAGGAATTCTCATAAAATTCCTCCATTTTTCTTGAATGACTTTATAAAATATTCTAACCTAAGTGACTTACTGTAGTGTTTATAAGGTGTTCTTGTGTTTGTTTCTTTTATGAACTGTAATATTTCTTTTCACTCTGATCAATTAAAAAATATAATTTATGTTCCTAGCTTTGTTTTGGAACATCTCCTAAAAGGCTTTCAAGGATAATTTCTAAAAGAAGATGGAGACAAGGGTCTATAAATATCTCAAATACATTACTTTGATAGATCTTATGAAGATTCATCACATAGGGACGAGTTCAGAAGAGGCAGAACAAAGACTTGTTTCTTCAGAAACCCTGATATAAATAAGCAAATTCTTAGCTCAAGGAAGGGAAGCTGAGGGGACAACAAAATTCTGTGTGGCTCAACCTTTCTGGTAATTGGCGTGGAACCCACATGGTGTAGTATCAGTTACTGTGACAACCAATAATAGGAAAAGAGGTTAGGAGCTAATGAGAAAGAGTAAAAAGGACCAGAAAAATTGGAAGTCTATGCTGACTCTCAAAGGCTCATGAGGAAAGAAGCCAGTCAGAGAAAATGGGATGAGAAAAGTATAAAGTGGGAGAGTTTCTGAAAGATGATCAACGGAGATGGAAGAAACCGAGTCTGAGGGTTGGAGTGATTGACGGCCAGGCAGGGCAGCTAAACCAGGAGCTGATCATGCTTTTACTTAAATTCCAAATCCCCAGATTAGAAGAATGGCTCATTGCCCGGGGATATATAAATTGCCTAGAAAAAAGTCAGTGGCTTTGCACATTTCGGCTTTGTGAAAATATTTACTCCTACATGTGGAAGCACAGGTTTGGAAAAGGAGTAGTTGAAGAGGACAAGAGGCTGGCCTCCTGTTCCTCCTGTCACAAAAGCAAGTCGCATGCTCCCAGCAAACAGCGGGATGAGAATGAGCTATTTTATCAGGTCGCAAGGCTATACAGGGGTCCTCTGCATTAGTGCTTGTGGATCCGGTTCACATCCCTACTCTACAAGGTCCTGTAGGTGCAAGTTACTCAACCTGTCTTCACCTATGAAGGAAGGGTATGCACTAATAGCACCCAGCTGGCTGTGATGAAGGGCATTTTGACCTTTGTATTAGAAATGGGAGCTAAGGGGAAAATCTCAGGGTCACGACTCCTTCCCACTGCTGCCTCCAGGGGGTGGCTCTCAACGCCCTCTTTCAGAAAACTCTCCTTTGTGGCACCCTCTCTTCATTGCTCCATACCGAGCGCACCGCCCTGAACCTCTTCCTCACATTCACTATGTGACTCCAGCAAACACTCCATTGGCCTCCCCACCCCAAGGCCTTTCACTCCCAACACTCTGGCCCGGTGTTTTCTTCAGTGCAGGCTGTGGCCCATTAATGCATCATGAAATCAAAATAGAGTGGAACATTACAAAGCAAAATAGAGTAAAACAGAGTAGAAAAGTAGCAGCACATCATATCAGGTAAGGGCGTTTTTTAGTGAAACTTTTGTTTCAGACGTAGATGTCTGTACTGCTCTGGACGCTCAGTTCCTTGACACCCCCCCCC